CTTTTTCTGTTTGTCTCAAAAAAAGTATCACTTTCCTTCTAATGAAAAACATATATGTTCATTTTCTTTATCCACTACACAAACGTCAATCACACAATTTTTACTATTCTAATTTCACACCCAACAATAACTTGACAAAGTTAAGTAAGACGAAGTTAGTATAATTTTTTATATAAGACCGTAAAAGTTATATCGATTTAACATTTTAATGTTTGAAATTTATATTTTAAAAAATATATACAATATTGGTATCATATGAAAGATGGTAAAAATTTATGCATTTTAATATTTTTTTTTGTAAAATTTGAAGTATAAATAAAAAGTTATAACAACTTTTAAAACATTATTTTTTTTTAAATTTTTGGATCCCACGTTAATTTCTTTCCGCACTGTAGCTTGCAACTTGACCCAGGGATGGGTCTAACTTTTCTAAAATATATATACAAGTATATGGTATCTGAATCGGCTATTCAAACTAAGGATTTTTTTTTTGTTTTTTAAATGCTCCAGTCGGAATTGGCTCTTCCAACAAGAGATTTTTTTTTTTAATTTTTGAAATGCCACAGAATAGGGTAATCCGACATCATAAGTCAATTAAATTTTTTCAAACCCTTCCCCTAGTCGGAAGAAGGCAATCCGACTCCCGTATTTTCGGAAACCCTAGTTTTATCCCCGTAATTTGGCACCTCCCGTTAACTATTCCCGTATTTTGGGAAATCACCCTCCAAAAAAATCTCATAATTTAGATGTAGGTCATGTAGGCTTCAGCATAAAGTGATAAAACTACAGAGTACTACTCTGTACTTATATGGCTCTACAACAACAACAACATCCAAGCCTTAGTCCCAAAAGATATTGGGGTCGGCTAACATGAATCGATACATGATATCACAACGCGATTTTCATATTTCGATTCATGTCATGTGATGTGACTAGGTGATACTGTTGGCCGTCACACGCCTACCACAGCACCCTCCTCCTTTATCCTGTACTTATATGGCTCTATATGCGGTAAATTATACCGTACAGCCGGCTGTACGGTGAGCACCGTACGACCGGCCATTTTTGTAATTAAATATGGGTTCTGCAACTTATCGGCGACGGAAAACAGATCAGGAAGTCGAGCGATCAGCGATGCGCACATGAGGAGGAACCGGCTGAAGGCTGATGATGCTGAGATAATGCTTGCCTTATATAATTGAAGCAAAATCAATCTTCCAAATAATAGTGCTTCGTAATTCACAATTCACAATACAGATGGCAACTATTTGCAAGTATAATACGTAATAATTGAGAGCACTTTTGTTTGTACGAATCACGTTTTTGGTTTTTGTGTTTTCTTCATATCTTCTTTTTGTGCTTTTACTTTTTTCCTTCTTTCTTTTCCTTTCTTTTTTATTTTAATCTTTATTCAATTATAAAATATTTTAAATATTAATGTTTTATTTTTTATAGCTCATTTTGTAAGTTACGTATACTCATTTAATATTGGTATTATGCTCATTTTAAAATGTCATATCAATACAAAATAGAAATGAGTTCTATGTTAAATTCAAATGAGTATAACGTCCAAAATGAATGAGCAAACACAAATACGTTTTTGAATTTTTTGATACCCATTTTGTAAGTTATGTATGCTCATTTAGTGTTGTTTTATGCTCATTTTAAAAAGTTGCACATTTCAAACACATCATACTCCCTCCGGTTTTTATTAATCTTCACAGTTTCTGAAGAAGCATCTAAAGGTGCACCTGCATGACAAAACACGCTATTACTCACATGTTTGATTGACTTAACAAAGGAAACAGAAGGGGGGATCCACTCAACCAGGCGACACAAAATGGGCTAAGCTGAGCTCTGAAACTCGCAACAAGATAATTGACAGGTTATTGGGTGAGGCTGTTGAATGTTAGATTCACATTAGAAATGAGTTTTATGTTAAACTTAAATGCTCAAAATGAATGAGCAACACAAATGAGCTTTTGATTTTTTCGATACTCATTTTGTAAGTTATGTGTGCTCATTTGGTACTGCTTTGTGCTCATTTTAAAAGGTTGCTCATTATTAGACGCTTAATACTCATTAAAATTGGACAATTGCTCATTAGCAGTACACCAATGCTCATTTAGCAGAAACCGCGATTTTCACATTAATTACAAAAATGTCACCGAATTATTTTGCTATTTTCCCCTTGGGCCTGTTACTGGACCGGCTGTACGATGCTCATTGTTATGCTTCTAATGCTCAACAAAATTTGTCTCATGCTCACTAGATGTGTTTTAATGCTCATTTAGTACAAGATGTGAATTTCATGTAAATTATAAAAATGCCACCGGCTGTACGGTTCTTACCGTACAGCCGGCTGTACTATATACGCTTCCCTCTATATGCCAAGTCGCGTTTGTTTTGGGTGTCGTAAATTAATGGTATGGACTATGGAGTGAGTTTTTTCCGGAATAATGTTAATTAAATAAATAAATCCCAAAATACTATCGGCTTTAAAATAATTCCCAAAATACTGCTGGGTTAACTGTGGTTAAGAAAAGCCGCCACTTGAAGTGGCGGCTCTTCTCTTATAGTACAAAAGCCGCCACTTGGAGTGGCGGCTCTTCCCTTACGGCCCATTTTATACATATATAAAACGCAATATGTTTCAAGAATTTGTTTGATTGCCTTCCGGATTTAATTTTGAGCTGAAATTTGGTATGCATAAACTAGACTTGATAAGGAACATGTTTTAAAATATTTCATCAAAAAATTTCACTGGAAACACCTTCTGATGGTGTTGTCCGCGGGGGGTTCTGGTCAGGACGTCATGACAAAAGGATGGTCCGACCACCTTAATTTGAGGTGGTTCCCGGTGGTATGCTTTGATGAAATTTTTTGTGTATGTTCTTCATAAAGGCTAGTTCATTCATACCAAATGTAAAAAAATTAACCGATTGAAGTTTTAGCTGCAATTTGGTATGAGTAAACTAGATTTAATGAATAATATGTTCAAAAAATTGTATCAAAAATTTCAACCGGGAACTGTTCCAAATGACGATGACCGGACATAGCCTCCTCCTATACATGGGTTTATTTGACATTTTTTTGTTAGTACGTGGGCTTAATTATTTGCCCCTTTACGGTTACTATATGTTCTCCTAAATTCTATCATCTTTATCTATTACTACCTCTAGTCCCAAACGAAGTTCATTGTTTAACTTTACAATTTTTAAGAAAGTAGAACCAATACTTCCAACAATATCAAATTGACATATATACTCATATATATTCTCTACTATTTTGTCACCATTATATATTTATAGCTACATACATTCCAAAACTTTTATTTAGTATCCTTCATTATTCATAAAATCACGCTCCACTATCTCCATTGTAAAATCACGCTTCACTAAAGGCAAAACGATATGTTTAGGGAGCGTTTGCAAAAAATTTAATTTTTTTTTTCAGCTTTTAGTGTAATAAAAAATTTTAATTTTTTTTTTCATGTGACAATTTCTGCTTAAGTTAAGAACTTAAGAACTAAAAGCTAGAAGCAGATGAAGGGTTGCTGTGAACTGCTTCTCACTTTTCTATTACACAAAAAACACTTATTTTACCAAACTCTATCAACTTGTACTTTTTCAGAGGCACTTTTTTTCAAACACTATCAATTTTTACTATTAATCATTTTCTTCAAAATCACTTTAAAAATCAATTTTCTACACGAGAAGCAATCGCAAACTATACGTTTGTGATAAGAATAAAGCAGCAGTTATGATTAGGGATGGACTAAACCGGGCCGACCCGACCCGAAACCGGCCCGACCCGAACCGGCCCGGCCCGTTACTGTTTGGGCCCGGACCGGATCGCGACCGGTTGGCCGGTTGCGGGCTTTTAGCCCGTTTGGGCGGGTCGGGCGGGCCGGGGTCGGGCCGGGGTCGGGCCCAACTTTTGGTGAACCGGCCCAGGCGGTTCGAGCCGGGCCCGGTTCAATTTTTTTTTGTTTCTTCAATTTTTTTTGCTTTTCTAGGTTAGAGTTGGGTGTTTTGGGGGGGTTTGGGGGGTGTGGGTGAAGGGGGGGGGGGTCGGATGTTAATTAGAAACCAAAACAAAAAATTGAACTTGACCCGGGCCCGGCCCGACCCGGTTAGGCCCGGACCCGGTATCAACCCGGGCCAGTTCCGGGCCCAACATTTTGCAAAAAAAGTCCTCCCGGGCCCGGCCCGGAACCGGAACCGGACCGGCCCGGATTCATCCCTTGTTATGATAGGCTACACAAACATTTCCATACGAAACACTCAACATTCATCCACACCAACAATGAATAAATTTTTATACTCCCTCCGTCCTAAAAAAGTTGGCCGAATTTCGTTTTTTGGATGTCCCAAAAAGATTTGTCGTTTCCATTTAAAGTAAGGAATATGTGGCAAAAATTAATTCTCTCTCTTCTGCACAAATTTCATTCACACGGTTTTTACTTTATTAATCCACTTGAAAGTCAACTTTGGCCAACCTTTTCGGGACGGAGGGAGTATTTTCTTTTATTTTATTCAAATGTTATGCATCGTTTTTATATTGAATAAGACTTTATGTCTATCTTTATAGTATTACACTAACTCAGTGTTTTGTTATGGGTTTTTCTTCAAACATGACTAAATTCAAGTGAACTTTCAAAAAAGTGACCACTTTTATATAGAAAGTATAACAAAAATTTGACTAATAGAGTCATTTTTTGTGAAGAACGTGATGTGTATTTTTTTTATAACGGATTTACAGATGTCACTGTAATTTATAACCTCATTTATTATTGGAAATCATGCATGTGTTGATGAGTGAGTGGGTAGGCAAAATATGTCCATCACGCACATTTTTTTCCCCGCGTCCAGTTATCCAAGTTCCGCACTTGAAAGGGAAAAGGGTAATGAAATAGTTCCAGAGTACAATGCGGCAAACCTCCCCCCACATTTTTTGTATAAGTACTCACATTTAAACACACAAAATAAGACTCAATCTGGTAAGTTAAACTTTGTGAGATGGAAAATTTTAAGGTTTATGCTTTTGGTGTGGTTTTCTCTTTGTTTCTTTATTTTCAATTTCCCAATCACTTTGGAAATGGAGTTGGGGCAGAAAATGTTGGAGCATCCTTAAATGGATCAAAACCTTGGGGTTTTGTTGACGTTAGACCAGGTAATTATTAATTCACTTATAATTAAATATCTTAATTAATTTGCTTTTCATTTTTCCCTTTATATTTGTCATTATATATACGTAGTATTAATTACATCCATAATGCTTAGATTTTTTTTTTGTAATATAAATCCTCTTTCGGTTGTGTCTTGTGGGTATGGGATGCACAGGTGCACACATGTTTTGGTGGCTCCAAAAAAGTCCATACAGAGTCAACGACCCAAACAAGCCATGGCCAATTATTCTCTGGTTGCACAGTGGACCAGTAAGCCATCGCTCTCTCTTAGAACTTTGTCAAGTTTGACCGACATGAAAATTAATAAAGTAAAAATTTTGTGATTGAAGATTGTGCAGAGAAGAGATAATTATCTGGCACCACAAATTGTTTACTAAAAAGAGAAAGTGATAAAATTATTGGGACAACCAAAAAAGAGAAAGTTGACAAAATTTTGAACGACATGAAGTATTTTACCTAATATGGCTATATACAAAACTAAAATACGGCTAATTATTGTTATTGTTTAATTTTGAGAGGAAGGTAGTAAAATATTCGCCCAAGAAGCCAAAATACTTTTAACCCCCAAATAAAGTGATTGAATTTACTCTTAACTCTTCTTATTATTTGACCTAATATGGCTATATACAAAACTAAAATAACTCACGATTGAGTTTGGCTATATACTAAGTTTACCTCCTTAAGATAAAGATCTTCTCACTTTGAAAGTGAGTGAAATTACAAATGGTGAACGAGGATATAAATTATTGAGAGTATGATGGGAAAATAATGAAATGGTGTGATGGAATGAACGATAAATCCAAAAAAGTAGGTGGTTTTTTACTTCAGGGGTCCGGGGGAAGGGGTCTGGGAGGCATGGAGTAATCAGGGCTGAAACTCACTCCATTGAGTTTCGAACCCGAGACTTCCCGTAAGGGAGAGTGAGTCGGCAACCAGCTGGGTTGGACCGCTTCCTCTAGTAAGTGTATCCAACAAATTATTGAGGATATGATGAGAAAATTTAGAAATGTGTAGATTATTTAATTACGATTGAAAAAGAAAAGTGAGAAGATCTTTACGTTACGTAGTAATTTTTAGCAAAAATGTTGTTTAGTACAATAGTTAGTGACGAAAAATATACCACGTACTACATATAATTTCTGCCCCAGTTTAAGCTTAGCTTCTATTTAAAAATGACATGGCTTTTAAAACAATAACTATATAAGGTTATTAAAGTAAATATAAGTTAGTGATAATTGTGAGATACTCCATACAATATAATGATGCCATTGATGATAATTGTGATTATATAGGTGTTTTATTTTTAAAAATTGATATTACGTAGTATAATTTAACAATGTTAATTATTTCTTAAATTAGTAATGAGAACTTTTAGTTGGTACGGTCCAAAAGAGGCAACTTAAAAAATTAAGTTGGAACAAAGTGGTAAGTGTAAGTTGGTACATGTCCTTTAGCTTGTATGAAAAAAAGTTATGTACATAGCGTAGTATGTACATAACAAAATATTATGGCCTTCTTTTAAAATAAAATTCTTTTCGAACAAGATTTACCTTCATTTTAAAAGAATGCCAACCTATAGCTATTGATCCATAAAATTTTAGAATAAGGGTTTCGGAATTGTTATTTTATTACGATTGAATTGTTTCGTTTTTCATGGTTGCGCTAAACTAATGGAAAATGAATAATGTAACTAATTCTAAGGCCAAACTAATTCTATGGCCATGGACCGTAACGAGTAAATTGTGTGAAATTTGTTAGAATGAGCATTATGTTATTCTAAAATCAATATAGTAATTAAAAGGAATGAGGATAAGCTTAACTTTATAAAATAAACACAATAAAAGCAACACATGTGTACACATCAATTTTTTTTTATCCTGGTAGAGTTCCAACCCTATGATTGGGTAGAAGCTAGGGAACTTTCTACCAATTTATATGCACACACCAATTTCAATGTGCACACATTAATTAGTTTGGAGGTATGATGTGCACGGTACATCTGATTGTATGATATACGGATTGGCTTGTATATACGGCTTGAATTAGGGAGCTTCTGGAACGGGATTTGGCAATTTTCTAGAGATCGGACCTTTTGATGCCAATCTGAAGCCACGAATTTCAACTTGGTTAAAAAAAGCCGATCTACTATTTGTGGTACGTTTCCATACCTCAATTTTCAAAATAATGTAAGAGACAAAGTGAAAAATCAGTCAAACTTACATAATGTATTTTTTCCTAAGAAGCACTTAATCACCTCTTCATATTTAACAATAAGAGATTATTTTTTGGCAGGATTCTCCAGTTGGAGTTGGATATAGTTATGTTGATGACATTGGGCTATTGACCAAGACTGATTCACAAGCAGTATCAGACTTAACCACTTTGTTGATAGAAGTTTTCATGAGGAACTTGACTTTAGCAAATAGTACCTTGTACATAATAGGAGAGTCTTATGGAGCAAAGTTAGCTGTTTCTCTTGGACTGTCGGTCCTTAATGCAACTCAGGCGAAAAGGTTGTCGGTCAATCTCGGGGGTATGTAACTGCTTAAGAGGCTATTTGGTAACACTGTTTTTTGGCTTATCAGGCTTATCAGCACACTCTTTCTCCACACAGACCAACTGAAATTTGGATTATCAAACAAAATGACCAATTTTATACTTTGTGCAGGAGTGACATTAGGTAGTAGTTGGATTTCTCCTGAAGACTATGTGGTATGTCATATTAGAATTTAAATTATTAGGAATTTTCCCTTAATGGCCTAATGTAGTTCCGGTAATCTAGCTGTATGGTGGTTTTTAAGTCTGAATAAGATGTTGAAGTAATAAATTATGGACTAATATAAATTAATTTTATCAATTCAGGACCCGAAAGATAGATTAATTATCAATTCAGGACCCGAAAGATGAAACGTATCAGTATAGGACCCGAAGGATGGAAAACTATCAATTTAGGACCTAACGTTTCATAGGTTTTGATTTATAAAATTTTTTATTAATTCCATTACTAATTTTTGATAAACTTTTCTTCACAAAAGTTTATTAGTTTAATAAAACGAAATAATATTTAAAATTTTTTAATAAAAAAAAATATGACAACTTAGGTCCTAGATTAATAGTTTTAAATCATTCAGGTTCTAAATTGATAGTTTTTCATCATTCGGGTCTTATATCGATGCATTTTATCTTTCAGGTCCCGAATTGATAATTAATCTATCTTTCGGGTCCTGAATTGATAAAATTCCTATAAATTACTCCGTACTATATAATATTCCTGTAGGAAATCCAATAGAATATGAACCTGATGGAAAAATATGTACCTGCTGGCAGCAAAGTATTCCTAATCATTTTGTTTCTACTCATATTACGAGAAACTTCTTACTTAGGGCCTATTTATTTACTAGCAGAAATATTTTTCGGTTTTTCAGAAAAGTGGAAAATTGAAAACAAAAACAGAAAACGCGTTTGCCGAAAAAAATCGCCGGAAATCGAAAGGAAAATAGAAAAATGCATTTACCAGATCTTTTTCCAAAACAAAAAATTAGATATGTCTTTATTTTCCTTAATTATTGGACAAGTACATGGTGAGTTTTACTAGTCTTACAAATTTGAAATATGTGGATGTTGCATTGTGGTTGCAAAGAATGGACACTCTAAAGAATTTGCAACTTAAGCCTAGTGGTGAATCCGGTCCCGCCCTAGTGTCAGTTCTGGGTCGGTCCGGTCAATGAATAAGCGGTTCCTGTCTGGTCTGGTCCAATGACCTGATGGTCCCTATCTGGTCTGGTCGATAGCTTGGCGCTCCCTATCCGGTCTGATAATGACCAGTTGATACCTTTCCGGTCTGGTCGACAACCGGGCAGTCCCGGTCTGATCCAGTCCGATCAACGACTCGGCGGTCCCTGCCTGATCCAATCAACGACCCAACGGTCCTCGTCCTGTCTAGTCAACGTAACGACCCAATGCACGGTCCTCGCTCATCCTGTTCGGTCAATGACTCGATGGTCTCTATCCAGTACGGTCGCCGACCGGGCGGTCTCTATTCGGTCTGATCCCTGTCCGTTCTGATCGATGACCCGGCGGTTCAGTCCTCAATTTTTAAATCTTTTTTTAAGTGAAGAGTTTCAAAAGAGTCGTCGAGTTGCCAAGCAATAGGGAAAAGGGAAAAGAATTAATCAAATTAGCCTTTGGGAGCGATTGGGTCGGCCGGTTTCGAACCCAATCTCCTATACCCGGCCGGGACTTGGTACCCTACTTGGGTTATATTAGATTCGGTTTATGACTGGGACTGTACTTTCGATCTTCCGGTAGGTCACATAGCTGGGTGAAAATTGAAAATTCTGATGTCATGTTTTCAAATTTGAAAATGGAATTATGGAAAATTAGAAAATAAAAACATAAAATTGGAGATAGATAAACTGAAAAATTAAAACAGAAAATTGGAGAACTGAAAATAGAAAAAAATGGAAAATATCTCTGTTAGTAAACAAGCCCTTATACTTCGTATTTGAAAGTTATTCACATAGAACGTTTTCATTTTGATTGATTCACATAAAAATAACCAAAAAACGTAATCATCAAGAGTAGTTGTTTGGCAAGGTTAAACCACTATTATCAATAATAAATCAAACACTGTTGTTTTTAGAATAATGTGTATATTAACGATGTGTAAATTAATAATGTGTTTTTAGATTAATTTCTATCTCAAACTAGATCAGAATAGATCAAATCAAAATTATGTAGTTAGTCCGGCGAGAATAGACATTGACAATATTGAAATACACATTGACAATAATGGAATACACATAGATCAAATATTTACCAGACTAAGAAATTTGAGGGCTCAATTACCGACTACATCATATCCTAAGAGTTTGGCTAATTGTTTTCGTAAATCATTTGATTGCTGTATGAAAAGTCCCTAAATGGACTTTTGAATCTCGATGAAATGTTCACTTTTAATACCACTAATGTATTTACTAACACTAAACTCGTCATTGTTAATCCTTAACATAGTTACCAACAGACTAAGGACGAGTTGATGGTTTGCAATTTCATTAATGATATTTATTTTGAAAGTTAAAAAATTATACTTTTGCTATATGGGCTCGTTTGGTATATAGCTTACACGTTAAATCTTTGCATGTGAAATGATTGCATGCAAAGTTTAGGGAAGCAATCACTATGCATGTAAAATAGATTACATTATTTGGATACATGTGTAATTTATTTTTAGTTTGCATGCAAAGATATTGCAGTGCTTTATAAACAGCATGCAAACCATTTTACCACCATATAACATCTCTTTACGTAAAATACTTTATATGGTACAATGCAAATGTTTTAAAAAGGAATTCTACATTTTACATTAAATAATCGAACCAAGCAATTTAAACCTTTTTCGCCCCATTTCACATGCAAATTAATTATTTTACACCCTACCAACCACGCTCTATAAGTTACTTAGAGTAGTACTATGTTGAAGTCCACCGGAAATCTATAAAGTAATGAAGTGCTATATTAAAATCTGGGCGACTTCTCTTATCACGAAATCCTAGTTCTTAATCTACTACGTAGTATCTAAAGTAAAATCTCTTAAAAGAAATTAAGATTGTGCATTACCATTTGCAGGTTTCATGGGGGCCTCTGCTGCAAACTTTCTCAAGAATTGATGACATTGATCTCGAAAAAGTGAACAGGTTAATTTCTGGTCTGAAATCTCTCTAATAAATCCCATTGTTCAAACTCTAAAAGGGCCAACTATTATCTGCTAATTAATAAAACTTAAAATAAAGCAGTTTGGCTAATCAAATCAAGCAGAAAATTGGTGAAGGCAACTTTGTAGGGGCAGCTGAGTTATATTTGCCAATTCGAGGAGTCATAGGGAACTACAGCAACGAAGTGGTAGTACATTTGCTCCCATACTTTTACTCCATTTGATAAGAGAGAAATGGTAGAGGTACCTATTTTGTCCCCAATTTTGTACCTCACCTTATGTTTGTGGTTCACAAATCTAACCCAATTAATTTAATTAATTACTCCATTTTAATGAAGTACTTTTGTGAACCACAAACATAGAGTACAAAATTAGGTAGCTTTAGCATTTGTGATGAAAAGAACAATACAAACAAGTATGAACCTCCTCAGGGTCCCTTGGAATTAGATACACGCTTGGCCGGGTGTTACATGAAAATATTACCCCCCTCAGGGGCGGAGCCAGAGCACTGGGCCGGACTGGACCGGTACAAAGAATATTTTTGGAAAAAAATTTAAACAGAATTTTTTACACTAAAAATTAAGCCATTTTTTAAATTTGGGGTGGGCCATGGCCTAGGTTGGCCACCCCTTGTCTCCGCCCATGCCCCCCCCCCCCCCTTCCTTATTAAAAAGATACCACTTGCTTCCCTATTTAAAAATTCCTTTTTGAATTACACACAGTTTATGAATAAGACACTATTTGACACTGTTTTGATACTATTTAACACTGTTTGACACTGTTTTGTTGAGTAAATAAGGAAAAGAGTTTTTTTAGGAACGGAACGAAAAAGAAAAGTGAGATATTTATATAGGAACGGAGTGAATTAACAATCTATCTATTTTTTTTTTATAGTATGTCTGTTTTAGTGTTATTGTTAGGATTTTCTAATCAATTTTAGGGATCCTACTTTAAATGGCGAATTTAGACCCCATGATATATTAATATGAACAAATCGTTTAATCAAAGCCTTCAAAGGTAGTATTATTAAAAGTCATATGTTTGAGATAATTATCAAAATAGGACTAAAAATCATTCACTTTACACAAATAGGAGCAAAAAAAATTATGTTTTCATAGGACTTATTATGTGTGTCTTGGACATATATACCCTTATAGCTATATTCATAATAAATTAATAAATATTTGTAAAAAATACTAAAACATTAACAAAATATATTTTAATAAAAAAAATAGAAAAAAAAAACCGCAAAAAAAATCACCACTGCCTCAGCAGCACCACCTCCTGTCTTCAGGGGACAAAATGTCAAATTCATTACGAATACCATATTTATGGCAGAAAACAATGAAAATGTTGGCATTCTCAAAGAGAAATATGCCATTTATTTGGCATTTTAAAAAAATGGCAATTATTAGGAAAATGACATTTTTTCACCGGTCACCGGGGGATGGTGGTGCAGGGAGGCAGTACCACCACCTCCGGTCACCGGAGGAAAAAATGTCAAATTCATTACGAATGTCATATTTATGACAGAAATAATGAAAATGTTGGCATTCTCAAAGAGTAATATGCCATTTTTTTGGCATTTTCAGAAAAAATGACATTTTTTACACCGATCGGAGGTGGTGGTGCATGGAGGTAGTGCATGTGATGGGAAAGGCATCCATATTTTTTTAATTTTTTATGGAGTTTTACTATTTTTTATTAATTTTTCAAAAACTAAATTTTTTAAAAATATTTTTATTTTATTATTTGACAAATATTTTGTTTATTTTCTTATTTATTTTTCTGCGATTTTTTGTAATTTATTCGAATTTAATATGAATTAAACATTTGACTATCTTTTTGTCATATTTAAAGGAATGGTAAGAATGAAATGGTAAAAAATAGGTATATTTTCAATAGGACTAATATGGTCTTATTTTGGAATAAAAATATATTGCAAGTCCTATTTTGAATTTTTGTCATAAATTTAATACTATTTGGAGTAATTTCTATAAATAAAAATGTGATGTACTCCGTAGTACGTATTAGTGCATATAATTTATTCAAAGTTTGCAATTATAGTCACTGAGTCACTTTTTATTCATTACTTTTTCCATGAATAGTATTAGACTATTAGTGGAATATTTCTACTTTTCTCCATCCAAATAATAAATCAAATATGGGATGGACGTAAATGTCCTCTTGATCAATTCTCTATTGTGGGTTGCTTAGTTTCTAAATCCTAAAATGAAAGGGACACTTGAGATGAATTTGAGGATTGGTAGGAAAGAAATGATTCGAAACTCATTTTGTTAATCTTGCCTTTTCATTAAGACTATGAACTTTAAACTACTTAATTAACTGGTTTCCGTCTTACTTCTAATTATCCCTACCATTTTGCCAGTTCGAATTCTTAATATATTTGAGAAGCAAGTGAAATTAATTTAATTTGCAGGATTTATATAACCTTTTGGAAGATTCTATGGACTCCACGGTATCATCTACCACAGCCTCAACAACTCTTAACAACGTAATGAATGGAGTGATCAAGAAAATCTTACGACTCCCTGAAAATATTTCGTAAGCCCAATCCTAATTTACTTATTTTATTGCTTTTCTTGTTATACTTTCCCGCATATGGGTTTGAAACTCAATAGAGTTAGTTTCAGTCCTGATTACTCCAGGCTCCTTCCAGCCCCCTCCCCCAGACCCTTGGAGTAAAAAAATATGAACTGAGACCTCCACAACTCCATAGAACAATTTATTTAATAAGGACATGCATAATGGTAGTATATATGTTTAAATTAATATCTTTAATTTCTAGTGACTATGTTACTAATTTGTAGTGATTATTAAGAACTTTAATTGTTATTATAGTGACCATAAAGCGGTACGCCTGCAGAGTACATTTAATAACATTATTGCTCATAAATTTGACTCATATTCTAGGAAAAACCTCTAGTAAATTAATCTTTGACTTGTCGTGTTGTAATTAGGTCTTGGAGATTGAGTTTACCCGCGACTTAAAAGGATTATTGTAAATTTTTCTAAATGTTTAATTTGTACCCATGAAAGAACACAACTAAATATAGTGTGTTGTGCTTGTATGTAGGTGGGTAGGGGTGTCTCTTCCTGTTTTTAGCAATATGTCCACCGACTTCATGAAACCAAGAATTGACGAGGTATTGTTTTGTTAGAACTAGTTTGGCATTTACTAGTACTTTCTTTTTCAGTATTCACGTACTTCATTTAAGTCTTCTTGTATTGAGAATTTTTGGGATCAATATAGATATTTTAATATACACTCTTAATATGAAATTTTAATTAATATGTAAAAGTAATTTCAATAATAGCGGAAAAGTTCTAATTTAGATTCAAGAACTTCTCGATATCCATAAAATACTCTGTATGACACATAAAATACTCTGTATGAGAGTGGGAGTACTCCCTAATAAATTAATTAAATTGAAAATAAAATCCCTTTAATAGCTCATTATTAACTAATAGGAATGATAATTCATGTCTATTCTTGTAAATGTGTGGCTCACAAAATTACTTTGAATATTATTTAAATATCCTATTAATGCTAAGACTCGAGAGGAGTATATAACATATACGCAGGGGCGTATCTACTCTGGAGGCAGGGGGCAGCTACCCCACTCAACCCTCACCGAACCCCATTATATATATATATATGTATATATATATATATGTATATATATATATATGTATATATATATATATGTATATATATATATATATATATATATATATATATATATATATATATATATATATAGGGAAGAGTTCAAATGAAAAGTGGTCTTCCCATGCAAAGTGCAAAGTTTTCACTTTTTCATGTTTCACTTGCATTTTTTCTTGTTTGCGTTGCACTTTATGGCCATTTTGATTTCGGCCAAATTCGGCCAAAATGACGGTGACAGTTTTGTAAATAAACCATTTTTTTGAGCTACCACGAAAAAGTGCAACGAAAGTAACAAAAAGTGCAAGCGAAACATGAAAAAGTGCAAACTTTGCACTTTGCACGTTAAGATCACTTTTTATTTGAAACATCCCCTATATATATATATATATATATATATATATATATATATATATATATATATATGGAGTGGTTCTAATGAGAACACTCCTTATTTTGAGAAATAAGAACAACTCTTAACCGTGGATCTTAATAAATTAAAGGTCATGAAAGGAGTAGGTGCACGGTTGTACGGTGGGAGTGCAACCACTTAATAAATAACCATGCGCTCTCTATTCAACCGTAGCTTAGATAGAGGACACCGTAGTAATTTAAAAAAAATCATATATATGGTTGTCATCTCCCTAAATAGTACTCCGTAGCTAATAATAAAACTCAAATCATATAAATTTCTTTGGTTTAAAAATTGTTTTAACTTTGGTTTAGTATGATCTTTTTTTATACTAACTTTTTATAAAACTTAAATTTTTTACACAAGAATCGGTATCTAACACACATTACGTGTATAGACAAAAAGCCAATACCTAACATATATGTATACAATAAATCACCACAAACATGTCTAATTACCGCACAAAAATTGGTATTTAACACACACGACTAATATTCTTACGGAAGATCAATATTTCTCACTTTGAATGACTAATATTTAATGCATTCAGATTACAACATTATTAAAAATGGAGATATGGCTCGCGTTGAACAAGGAGAAATAATGGAATGTAATTATTCCATTCCAAAAATAACTCCACGTTAATCAGTCAAGGTAGTTCAGGATATTATATACAATGGTTTATTATGATATATCAAACTCTGTGGCTAAGAGTCATGTCACTAATATATACACCTTTTGTCTCACAAAATCTTTCAACCTCTCTTTATTTAGCCATCCCAAGAAAACATTATCATTTTCTTTTATAGTAATAAATATGTGATGATCAAAGTTATTTATCTCTCCTCTGCACATATCTAACCTTAACGATATAGCTTTCAAACATTATTTCACGTGCAAGGCAAATTTGAGCAAGTCGAAATGTCAAAATTACTCTCACTTACAGACTTAATCTTGTAACCAATAAATTATTCACATAAAGGGCTTCTACAGTCACTACAAGAATTTTATCGAATTGCAATAGACTAATTTTGCTGCAAATAGTTGAAATTCCAGTGCAATTATTGATTTGCAATGGAAATCGCAACAATCACAATTCTGTTGTGAAATTGAAGTTGCAATGAAATGCAACGGAAATTGCAACACATATTACTTTGGTTGCAATGAATGCAACCATTTCATTTTGCTTGCACTTTCTGTTGCAAATGTTGCAACAAAATTGTTCCGTTGCTAAAATTGCCATGTGTTTTTGTTGTTGCTACTTCTGTTGCATTATATGCAACAGGTTTCCTATATTCTTGCAAATTTGTTGCAATGTTATTGGTGGTTATATCACAATTACACGTGATTGCCATTGAAAATTACAATGGTGTCCATTGTAAAAAATATTGCGATATTTCATCAATACAAAATATATTTTCCATATTTAAATAAATTTTCTTTGCAACATTAATGGCTCCAAACGAATAATAAACAAATCCAAACTAATAGTTTTTCTATGTAATGCACTTAACCACTATATATCAAAAGCAAAAGGTTTTACTACTAATAAGTTACTACTACTAATAGCTTAATTGAAAAAAAAAGATCTTCACTCCATAAACAATGAAGTTTAACATAATTTATTATTATAATATAAGTTAAACAACTCTAAACTAAAAAAATCACGGACTATAGCTTAAATCTGGCTCCACCGATTAGGCAAACATAGATAAAATCATTCGTTTCAATCTTCAACATGTGCTTGATATTCCTTCCAGAGTTCCAATCTCTGAGTTGCTTCCGCTCTCTGAGTTGCTTCTACCTTTCAAACTTGACTTCTAATAATTTAGATCACAACGGGTACATGATGTAGTGCTGAAGTAGTTCCACAGTATCTTTATGTTGAATATCCTAAAACTGTAACAAATGAAAGAGATGTGATTAGCAAATGAATAGATTTTAGTTCTAGTCCTTAAGAACATCAAACTGGAAATTGAAAAAAAAAATGATGAACTCAAAGAAATTGTGTTAACTTTCATTCATAAATCAAACTTTATATCGATACAAAGAAAACAAATTTTAATTTCATCCCAATTCAACATGATCACTTATTTTTTCTATTATAACATAAGAATATTGAGATATGATTTCATCAGTCAATCACTGAACTACATATTTACGAGCACCGCTATAAAATACCTGTCTAATTCAACGGTTATGGCACTGAGGGTTAGACTCCTCCAGTCCACCAATGATAATTTTCACAATTTCCCCCATCTTGGCTCCAGTTGATCTAATCTTTTGAGAAGCGTTTTTCAGAACACTGTTTATGAGGTTGATATTAGAAAATTGTGGACAATTTAAATATACGTCATCTAACTTTTTTGCATACATAGTAAGAAAGAATAGTAAAATGACTAACACATGTGATAACTCTTCATATTCAATGGAACGACAAGTGAAATACAATTTGGAATGAAATAATTGTAAAACAAATGCATTTGAAAACTTCAGTACAAAATACCATGCAAGTATAGGGATATTTCTTTCTTCTTAACCAATATCTCGGCAATTTCTCCATTTTTAGCAACCTGCAATAGATTAATAAGGCTAATATGTTAAAAAAAAAAAATCCAACCAATATGAGTTGCTCAGTTTTTTTTGTCATAACATTCATTAGAGTATATAATGAACAAGTATTGTTTTATTTTAAATATAAATACAACAATAAATAAGTTATCAAACAAAACATGCTAGAGGGTGATTTTTTTATCATGTACTCCTCTTAGGCTTTTCATCAAACACCATTAGTGCATACATTAATCAATTTTTTAGAGACCAAAAGTCCTCCTCTCGGATGTCTATGCTCCCCAGTAATTATGGTCGGATACAAATGATAGGCTTCGAATTGAATGTCAAGTCAGACAACACAATACTCTAAAACCTGACAACCTCATCAATGGTCGGAGCAGAAACGACGCCATTCTCCAAAGAACCCCTAACCTCATCTCTCTGTTTCAACATCGAACTAAAACGGTCGAGTACTGAGGGCAGAGTGAACTTTGAAATTCTGGCGAGGCCGCCATTTAGCATATGTTTAGAGTTGGCAACAGGGGCGGACCAGTAAAGACCAAGGGGCTACCGCCCCCAACAAAAAAATTTTAGTGTATATATATATATATATATATATATATATATATATATATATATGAAAAATAATAAAATATTGTGAACCCCCAAAAAATATTTTTGCCCCAAGATGACTATACTGGGTCCGCCCCTGGTTGCTTCCAATTCTCGCACTAGGGTTTGGCACTCCGGGTTCATTCATTAAGCCAATTGACAACCCCCGTATTATAGATAAAAAAGGAACATAATATTGCGAGAGTTCAGAGTATCGACTGAGATAGCGATAGGGCTGAGATAGCTCGCAGGATTTCTAGATGGGTTTGGCCATTTGGTACCGGTATTTCTCTGTTCACAGTCCTTTCCCACCTTAATTAGGTTTAACGTGATAAGATTATTTTTTACCATTTCAATTTACGACATTTCTCAAAAAGAAGAAAAAGAGAAGATACAAGTTACCTTTTGTGATGAAGAGGCATGGTGTGGATGTTGTTCCTTCGAAGAAGATGTGGTTCGGCGATTAAGAATAGTAGCCTTCGGTGTTTGATAAGACCCTGCGCATATTCAAGGTTTGGAGAAGACTCTGCAACCGCTTATATTTTACCTCTGATCTTTCTCTTTTAGGTTATACTCAGTATAATATAGGTTTCACTTTTATGTACCCTGCGTTGGTTTCTTTTTACTTGGTCCAAAAGGTGGAATCTCCCACCCCAGGAGCCCCCCATACCCCGACCCGATAGGATTTTTGGGAGGATGTTAATCACGGTGACTCAGTCGGCCCAATGATGGTAGACCTTTTTTTCCCGTGCGCACCAGAGGCCCAACCTTATTTCAGGTTCTGTGACCTCCACACGGCCGCTGCGGGTTTTGAACCTTGGTCACTTGGTCCGAATTTCCCACCACTGAACCAACTGAGCTACCCGTGCGGGTGTTGGTTTCTTTTTACTTTGGGCTTTTCTTTTGCTTTTTTTATACTAGTACGTGGTGAAATTTTGAATTAGTTTATTTAGAATTTCTTTTTGTTATTTTGGCTTCTCATCGTTTGTTTAATAGTCAATGAAAACATAGGATAGATAAAGTTACTGAATGAGGAACAATTATAAAATACACAAACACTAGGCATTTATCAGACCTGATCAGATCAGATCAGGCTAAAAAAATCAGTCTAATTGAAAACTTCCTGAGCATGTTTTTACTTGAGCTATTTTTAGTCTCAAACCAAATCAGACCAAACATTTACCAGATCAATTCAGACTAAGTCGTACTAGACCATACCAAATTAGACCACAAAATTTCAGTCCAATTAAAAATATTCTAAAACTAAAAACTATTCTACTAATTAAACTAGTACATAAATAATCTCTGAAACATTGATCAATTCGAATAGTTTCCATTAATATATTTTCTACACTTAACCTCGGTGCATTTATTTTGTACTTGAAGTAAAAGTTTCAAAAGGAAAATTGCAACCAAATGGATTTGGTTGCAATTTTGTTGCTTGAAGTGCTCATTGCAAATAAATATTTGCAAGGGATTGCGTTTCCATTGCAAATCAGTTGCAAATATATAATTTTGCAACGGAATAGAAAGTCAGTGCTATTTTAGATGCAATTACTGCAATGAATTTATTTTACAATTGCAAAATCCGTTGCTATATTTTTTTCCTCAATTTTTTCGTGAATTTTGTAACAGATTTTATTTCTAATGCAATACTCATTGCAAAATTGCAATGATTATAAATTCCATTGCAAATCTTATTGCAATATTGCAACGAAAATCCTTTTGTTGCACTATTCCGTTGCAAATTGTGCTTTTTCTTGTAGTGAGTGGGACCACAAGGAGTCGTTGGTATCAATGTTTTCCATCAAATTAAAAAATAGTACATTCCCATTAAAATTAAAAGTTCTTAATGTGGACACAAATATAAGTTTTAGGACTAGATGCACAATTGAATAAAGTTTCACGACCAATAATGGACATCCATCTATAGTTTTTAGCTACTCCTCTCGTCCCTTATAACTTTGCCAACTTTCCTTTTTTGGTTGTCCCAAAAACTTTGTCACTTTCCCTTTTAATCAATCAATTTGTGGCTTCTGTTATTTCTCTCTCCTCTGCACAAATCTCTATCACACAGTTTTTACTTTATTATTCTACGTGCCGGTCAAACATGGCAATCCTTTTTGGGACCGAGGGAGTATAATATAACATTATAACCTCCTAGATCATACATCATTCATTAAAAGTTCACTAACCTGCAGATGGAAGTTGTAAAATTGTTAATAATAACGTAGACATTAGATATCAATTGCTTTTGACTTTTAAAATATAGGAGTAATAACCCACATATTGTCATGTCACGCCATCAATTAATTTGCTCCTCAATTTGAATAGTACGGAGTAGTTTTTTTTATGGTGTGACATGACAATATTATAACTTGTTCCAACAATATTATAATCTGCTGACCCCCTATATATATACTTGATTGACCAATATGCGTTTTCCCTGAGCGTTATTTGCAGGAGCTTATTAATTCATTATTGGTAAAACATAATTTATGAATACATGATGCATGCTTGCGTGGTTTCTAATCTGAGCTTTATGCATATATATTTATATTTGTATCAATATATATAGGTTGATCAACTATTGGATAAAGAAGTTGACGTGACTATTTACAATGGACAAGTATGACACTGACTCCTTGACTATATATATCTCATTCCATTTTTCGAATTGAAATCCTACTAATTGTCAACAAAATATAATTATTAATTGGCAACAAAATATCCCGACTAGGTATATTTAATTTACATATTTTGGTTTTCAATGCAGGTTGATCTCATTTGTGGCCCTACAGCAACTAAAGCATGGATTCAAAAGCTCAAGTAAACCAAATTAAGGATTGAAAAAGTGGGAGGGGGAGTTCTCCCCTTTTTCACAACTAATTTAATACTACATTCTATTTGTCCTTAAACGTTGTTAACACACTCTACTTTGCCGATTTAGCGTATACTTTAATACGTAGTACTAATAGTATTCTCACTATTATTGTGAAACACTACGTAACTGAATGTATTAGCACTACTACAAATTTAGACCTAACGTAACATTAAAGATATATGTAACATACCTATAAAGTGTTACATATTAACATAGTGTAACACTTTTTAGAAGTATAAATGCTGCATTAGGAATTACTACGTGTATAATGTTACAACAGGGCAAATGCAACATGAGCAAACGTAATGGTAAAAAGTGTTATATTTTCTCTAATGCAATACTTTCAGTTATTGTAATACTTTTAGGGGTTAATATGTCGTAGTAGTGTAACTAGGATGTTTTTAATTGGATTGAAATTTTCTATTCTGTCTGCATGTTTAAGTGATTTGATAGATGTTTGGTTTATATGTATTTTACAATAGTTAAATGTTTAAATCCAGTCTGGTCAAAAACCGAAACTAGTCCAACTAAATATGAACATAACTAATTAGATGTGATCTTTTTACAGGTGGCCGGGATTGAAGGCATATTTGAACACAAGCAGAACTCCACTATATTGTTGTGGCAGTAACAAAACGAGGGGTTTCTTAAAGTCATACATGAACTTTCATTTCTATACTATCCTTGGAGCTGGTCACTTTGTAAGTTAATGAATTTACTACACTATGCTACTAGCTATTACCTACTCCCTCCATCCCATAAAACTTGGTCAATGTTGACTTATTTTTGGTAAATTAATAAAGTAAAAACTGTGTGATAGATATTTGTGCAGAGGAGAGAGAAATAGTTTTAACCACATATGGAGTATTTGTTATTTTAAATGGAAATGACAAAGTTTTTTAGGACGACCAAAAAAGGAAAGTTGGCCAAGTTTTATGGGACGGAGGTAGTAATTGGTTTCTCTGACTCCTACAACACGAGTTCTTAATTACTTTTCTACTTGATCTGAACTTAATTTGCTTTGTTAAGCTAATATGATTAGGCTCTATATTTCTTTTATTCTCACTACTAAGAATTTTTACTTGCTTACTTCTAAGGTATTCGCCTTATTTTTGTAAAATAAATTAACGAATGGTCTTATAACATTTACGAAGTAATAAACTTCCATTACTTTCGTAGAAGGGCTTCTTTTCAAAGGAAAGTCTTGACCTCTTAATTCTCTTTCTCAAAGTGGGATTTTTACACCTGGTTTGTATCTTACACGTGTGGTCAATTTACATGGCTATATGTTTCACCTACGACATTCAATATAGACTAAATAAAATAAGAATGAAACGATACATTTATTAGTTTGGAAATTAAAATAATATGATTGCTCGTAATAATTCAAGACCATTTATATTTTTTATAGAAAACATAGTAGAAACTACAAAGTTTCACTGAGCATTATTTAGAATATGGGAGTCCGTGTCTTATTAATTGTCTTCTCTACTCTCTAAACATATTTTCATTATAATGGGCTTTTGTGCACTGGTGCAGGTTCCAGCGGACCAGCCAGACATAACATTACAGATGGTGGGTAACATCACAAAGTCACCTGGCACTTCCAAGTGAACTGCAAGAATTGAAAATTAATGTAATATATATGGGCATCGTGTAGAATAATACAAAATCATGTTTTGAAACATGTACCAGTACACTTTGTTCATGCAATAATACGATGCAATTATATGGCATACAGTTAAATATGCATTTCATACATTCTTGAAATGATGGATAAAAATACGGACATGTATTAAACGTTTTTCAATTTAAAAATACGGTATAATACGTGTTTTCATATACTAATTTCAGTATGCCATTAAAAATGTGTGTATGAGGGGTGATTCCTTATACCGCTCTCGCGGCGTAGAGTACAATAATTTAGGCAACCGGGCTGATCTCTCATGCGACAGGCATCTAAAATTATTGCCAAAATGAACGAGCGTACGACCCCTTAATCGTTACTAATCTCTTAGCGAACGATTAAGTGTGTGTGTGTGTGTGAAGGTGTCCTAAAATGAATTAGATCTCTCTTAATTTATTTTACATGCAATTATAATCCTAGTGGTCATTCTAGGTTACAAGAGATATCAATTAAATCATTTAAACACAAATTAAATCAAGATTAATGCAATTAATCCATCATGAGTTTAGTCATACATCATTATTCACCTCTTCATCAATCCCAAATCCCTAATTAAAACTTACTCACAACTCATAATTGAATAATAAATATAATTGAGAATAATAGAACTAATTGTTATTAATTAAAAAGTAGGAACTTACAAATAATCCAAGGGAATTGAAGAACAAGGCGGAAAAATAGATGAAATTTCGTCCCTAGATCTCTATCTAAGCTTTGTCCCAAAAGGTCCCCGCATCAGTGACACTCTATTTAGTGTCGCTAGCCGCCACTTTCCCCGACGCTTTTTAAATGTCGCAGAAAGTTTCAGCGACACTAAATTAGTGTCACTGTAGGTCCTTTTCTACTAGTGCATGACCATTTAATTTATTACCGAAAGACATTTTAGCATGTGGTGACATATCTCCATGTCCTTGTTACATTAGTGTGAAAGGGAAAAGGGTAATGAAAGAGTACATTGCGGCCAACCTCCCCCGCAATTTTTTGCTAACTGATATCTTTGGTTGTTTTTTTATGCACGTCTATATTGTTTTGGCCTTGTCTTTTTGGAACACAGTATGTATAGTAAGATGTGTTCATCAACTACACAGGAGGATGTATTCATGATATTAAGTAAGATGTGTGTTTGAACAGATAGCCAAGACAAGACATCTGTATAGTTGTTCCCTATATTAATTAAGAGCAGGTATAGACATTTTCCAAATATTTTTCAACTATGAATATTTTATTTACCAAGTTTTAAAATTTGTTTGTTGGTGTTGTTTGAATTATAGGTATTTGAAGATGAGAAGCTTTTGGTCTGCCATCCATCAATATCAGCTAGCTCTGTTTTAGGAGCTTTTGTACATTTTTTTAATTTTGTAATCAAGGAACGATTATTTGTATATATAGATTGTACATTTTAGAACCTTTGATGTAGCATAGCCGATTGGAATCAACAAATTAATGTTTGGCGTGGATAATACGTAGCATTGAATTTTGATGTATGTGAATTCTGAAGTTATTACTCGTTATTTTCTACTAGTTAGTCGTTGTATAATATAACCGATAACAACAACAATAGTAATAATAATAATAATAATAAAGTGTGCTGTAAATAAATTCCAATGAACATGTTTTTTGTCGTTATTAAATAACGATGAACACAAATGTCGTATCTAATAGCTAACGATGACTTCTTATGTTGTCGTTAAGTTTTAACGATGAACATCGTCGTTAAAACCTTTAACGAGGGAAGCTATTACGACGACCCAACGACGAAATTTATTTTGTCGTTAAAAGGTTTTAACGACGACTTTGTGGTCATTTAACGACCATTTTATTCATTGTTAAAAAGCAGTTTTCTAGTAGTGGGCGTTCACTGTGAAGAACAAGATGGCATTTCTCGATGGATCTATCAAGCAACCAAGTTCTGAAGACTCTTCAACTTATGCTATTTGGTATCGTATAAATGCTTTACTTCTTTCTTGGTTGATCTATTTCATTGCCCCTGAAATTTGCTCTACTATTTCATTAGTAACTTGTAATATCACAAATTATGATAATATATACTATGTACAATGTATCTATTAGCATCTTTATTTATGTTCTATATTGGAAAAGACGGGCCAATTTTTTTTTGTTGAACAGGGCAGGCATTTTCTTAGGACCGACCCTGCAATCAATTTGACCATATTCATCGGAAAGCATCCCTTTTAACATGTTAAATGCAGGTTTGCCTTTATTCCTTTTCATTTCTTTTGTCCTTCTTCTTCTTTCTTCCGCCCACTTCTTTCCATAGTTAGTTAAATACGGTACGGGAATTAAACGTGATTTAATACGTACGTGTTTTATTCGGTATCTTGAACAAAAATACGGTCAAAAATTCAGCAAAAAATACGTTGACTTTTATAAAACGTGTAAATACGTATACGTGTATAATACGACATCTCTTAGAAAAATTCGGGTTAAAAATAAGGGTCTTATTTTAAATGATTAAATTATTGTACTAGTTTTTAGAGCATAAAAAACATACGGAGTATAAAACATAAAGGATAATCAACATACACACACATTCAAACATAATATCTCATTACTCCATCAAAAAATGCATTCATAATAGCATAAGTTCATGACAAAAAAGAAATAATGATTAAGTCCAAAATAACATTTAAATTATATACTTTATAAAATAACATATGCTATCGTAATAAAAAGAAATAAGAGTGTACACATATTGAAGTACCAAATCACATTACTACATACAAGAATAATTCATAATTGCATAAGTCGATGACAAAAGTAAAAATAGTACAGAGTAATTAAGTCCAAGACATAATTTTGCAAAGTAATGTCAGAAAATAAGGCATAATAACGATAGAATGAGGCCAAGTTAACATCATCATCATCTTTATATGATCATCAGATAGCACTCAAGTTAAACTCATCATTTTCACCTAGATGACAGATGACATGAGAAAGTTGTCCGACTGCTACACTTATTATTGTTTATGTGTAAAAGTTTATACTAAAAAACGTCACAAATCTAATACGTAGTAATATTTTAGATTTTAGTCTTTTAGGATGCTAGCTTTAGTCATCATGCAATTAATTTTAGTATTTAACAATTGTATATTTTTTGGCAGGATTCTCCAGTTGGAGTTGGATATAGTTATGTGGACGACATTGGACTATTGACCAAGAATGATATTCACAAGCAGTATCAGACTTGACCACTTTGTTGATAGAAGTTTTCAAGAGGAACTTGACTTTAGCAAATAGTACCTTGTACTCCCTCCGATCCGTATTAAAGTTCTTACTTTCCTTTTTAGGATGTCCCTTATTTAAGTTCACACTTTCATTGTAGGAAACAAAACAGTGCAAAACAGTGTCAAACAATGTCAAACAGTGTCCAAACAGTGCCAAACAATGCACTCCACAGTAAAGTCAAATTTGTTTTCTTAATTTGTGTGAAGTCAAACTGGGAACTTTAATAGGGATCGGAGGGAGTATATAATGGGAGAGTCTTATGAGTTATGGAGCAAAGTTAGCTGTTTCTCTTGGACTGTAGGTCCTTAATATATGCAACTCAGGCGAATAGGTTGCCGGTCAAACTCGGGGGTACGTAAATGATCTAACTGCGTGAGATCAACTAGAATTTGAATATCAAACAAAATGACCAATTTTATACTTTTGTGCAGGAGTGACATTAGGTAGTAGTTGGATCTCGCCAGAAGATTACGTGGTTTGTGATACTTCATCCGTCCCATTTTGACTGTGTAACTTTTGTTTATGCATTATTTCAAAATGAATGTTCAGTTCTTTTTTATAAGAAATATGTTATTCGTATCATTTCACTTTATTCTACTCAAATTTCACGAACAATTTTACTTTTCAATCACATTCGTAATAATTTTGTGAAACTAAAACAAAATATTAATATAGGATAGAAGTAGTATAAAAACTTAGGGAAAAATAATTAAATAGAAATTGCCCAAAATATGAGTAAAAACGTTTTGAAATTCTAAAATAGGACTTTGATGTTTTTATTCCAGAAAGTTACTCATATTCAGGGAATAAAAAATATGATAGTCCTATTTTGTAATTTCAAAACTTTTTTACTCCTATTTAGGGAGTCTCTCATAATTAAAATACTCCAAACTTTCAAAGGGTATGAGATGAAAACCCCAAACTTGCATATGTAATTTAAATACCTCAAACTTTATATAAAAAATTATTTTCGCACCATTGTCATGCATAATTTCTTTTTAAAATGTAAATTTATGAGTTTAATTGCATAATTTAAAATAGCAAATTAAAAGTGTTGCAATTATGTAGATTTGGGATAACATTATTTATTTCGTAATGAAAGTTTATAATTTAAATCATGTCTTCATGAATTCTAAAATATTTTATAGTATTCCTTTTCATTGATCGACTGATGCCCCCATTCTTATGGATCGGCTGCAGAAGAATTCTACCTATTATAGATCACTGCCTAAAATATTTTAAATTCCTATATGAGAAAGTTATTCAAATGGAACTTTTTCATTTTGACTGATTCGCATAAAAATGGCCAAAAAGACATATTCACCAAACCAAGCATTCCAGTCCCGTTGATTGTGGGGTTACCGTGCCTAGTGAGATGTCTCAAATTTGAAACCCGCTAGGCACATAAGGGTTTGAAACTCAATGAAGTGAATTTCAGCCTTAATTGCCCCTGACCCCTTCCCCAGACCCCTGGAGTAAAAAAAAGAAAAGAAAAGACATATTCACCAAGAGTAGTTGTACACATGTACGTTGCCCTTGGCAAGGTTAAACCACTATTATGAATAAATAAATCAAACACGGATGCTTTTAGAATAATGTGTATCAGAAGGTCGTTTGGTAATACTGTTTTTCAGTTTATCATGC